AATGGATGGATGGATGGATGGATGGATGGATGGATGGATGGATGGATGGATGGATGGATGGATGGATGGATGGATGGATGGATGGATGTGTTTACAGCATGTGTGTGTTTACAGATGTTTGTGTTTACAGATGTTTGTGTTTACAGATGTTTCCTCACTCACCACACAGTCACTGCTGGTTCAGGTTGTGATGAACGTTTCCTGGTTTACTCCTGCAGAGCTGGAGGAGCAGACCCGCAGGGCTCTGGAGTTGGAACATGAGCGAAAGCGAGCGAAGGAGGAGGCGGAGCGTCTGGAGCGGGACAGGCAGGCAGCAGAGGAGGCCAAGGCAGCTCTGGCTCAGCAGGCTGCTGACCAAATGAAGACTCAGGAACAGCTGGTACCTCTGCTGACATGTGCCTCTGAGTTTTCAAGCTTTACTTTGGTGCCTCTTTGATGTTGCAGAACTCTGTTCTGAGGCCACACCCCCAGGGAGATCCCACACTGCAAAAACTGTCCGTCTAACCAAGTTTTAAAACCTTATATCAGCCAAAAAGTCTTTTTGATCTTGTTTTCAGACTGATTTACTAAACAAGAACTGATTGTGTAAGAATAATCATCTTGTTTTCAGAATGTGTAAGATTATTTGTCTTGTTAGTCTGTCTTGTTACTCCACTGGCAGAAATTTTTGATTTAATTAGTCAAATTTTCAGACTAACAAGACAAATAATCTTACACATTCTGAAAACAAGATGATTATTCTTACACAATCAGTTCTTGTTTAGTAAATCAGTCTAAAAACAAGATCAAAAAGACTTTTTGGCTGAAATAAAAATTTAAAACTTGGTTAGATGGACAGTTTTTGCAGTGCTGTGGTACACCTCACACTCCTGTTTGAGGCTTTAAGCAGGAGAGGGCGTAACTCCAGCCTGAAGGTTAACAGCAGGTGTTTGATGGTTCTGTGTACAGAACAAAACAGAATAAAAGTTAAAGAACTCACTAAAAGTCAGGATAAAAATCCATGAACTGCAGTTCTGTGCTGTGTGACCAGGCAAACTTTTATTAAGGTAGAAAATTAAAAAAGAGTTTTTTTTTTAAAAAACGTACGATGTCTGAACTCTAAAAATCTAAAACAAAAACAATGTTTTTTGTAATAATACTACTACAAGGGTCTTCAAGGTCAGAGGATATGACAACCCTTTAGTCGGCCCCAGGCTAAAGATGACACGAGGCCAACAAAACACCCAGATTTCTGTCGTGCAGAGGAAGTTTAAAATGCACTTTAAGCACAGCTATTCCCTTATCTTAAGTATCCACATCTCTTCCTGGCCAACTTTATCTCCTGTCTGCTCACATTCATTGCATACATATTTGGACATTTATCTCTATAATGAGCTCCAAAAGTCAGTATTTTTTGAAAAAAATCTGTACCATCTGCGCACGCAGGAAGGAGGTGCTGTTGGCTGCAGGGATGACAGCGCCTGCTGCAAAGCAGCAGGACAGGAGAGCAGAAGAAGTGAGAACTTATTATGACCCCCGCACGTGAAGCTGGAGTCATGTTGTTTTCATACTCATAATTTATTTTTTTATTTTATTTTTTTATTCAGTGACATTTGGTCAACTGTAACACAAAAACAGCTGCACCGATCAACATGAAATTAGTCAGGACTGTAGATGAGTCTGACCTACACTGCACCAGCTAACGGTTTTATGATAGACCCC